CGCCTGTTTACAGTCTAGTGTCCCCGTCACTATACTGGGGCATTAGGACCCACATGAGCCGCAGGGTGAGAGGATTGGACCTCTTTGTCTGGTGATGTGATATCTACCCACTATTACTAACAGATTAACTGCAGATAAATGTTCTTTTTTTCATATTCCGCTTAGCGCAGTCCAACATAATGTCAAACTCCTCAAATCTAACATGGAAATGCTTCAAGTCAGTCAGCAAAGTCTGTCCGAGGACACTTTGTGTATACAGTATACAGGCAGCACATCAGTATGTGCAGAATTTCTTTTCCAGGAAACTATTTTTTTTCCCCAAACTTTTATTGAACATAAAATTTAAAAAAAACAAAACAAGAAGAAAGCGTATGCAGGAAAGACAAGTGAACAATAAAATCACGAAACACTCCACTGCTTCAGGGAATTACACACCAGGACACTCGAAATTCACAGTTGTCTTTGGAACGCAATATTTTTTTGCACCACAGAAAGAATCTGTGTACACCGTGCTTCATTCCTGCCTGTATATCCTTCTGGGACGCAATGTTTGAAAATACTAACTGGAAAATGAGTCTGAACTGATACGGCCTTGCAGAACAACATTTACAATCCTTATCGTGTTAAACGAGCACGTTTTAGATTCAGAGATGAACAACGAGATTTATGTGTGGTTTGTAAGGCTGGAAAAGAAACTCTCACATTTATTTGTTACCTGTTATTCTGGATAGACTTAGCAAACTTGATCATTAAACATTTAAATACGAATGTTAGATTTAAGGAGTTACACTTTGTGACTGGTAAAATGGAGAAAGCTTAGTTATAATATAGTCATCTGTCAGTAATTGTGGGTAGATGTTTTCACAAATAAAAAAAGTATGCAAAAGTTTAATTTATCGTGCTCTGTTTTGTGATTTCTTTTGTTCGATCATCTTGTTTTTTTAAATATATTTTCTCCCGTCGCTGTTTTTCTTGATGTTCGGTGAAAAAGTTTGGAAAAGATATACATGGAACCTCTTTTTTTCCAAGCTTTACTTATAACCATTAACAAAATCACAGGCACCGTTCACTGACATTGAACCAAACAAAAAAGTGTTAATAATTTGTCATTCTCATGTCGTAATTGTCTCACTTGTATAATAATACCAACACGGCATGAGAATTTCGCGCCGGCTTGCAGGAGGAACTGACGTCAGGCTGGCGCGTGGAGCCGGCGAGCCTCGCTCTCGATCCAAGATGGCGGCCGTTTCCCGGGCAGCGCCTGTCGGGGCGGGGCGGGGCGGGGCGGCGGTCTTGAGAGGGCGCGAAAAAAAAAACCCGAGACAAATATGTCTTTTTTTTAGTACCGGCTAAGTGACACACAAGCTACACGCGAGTTAAAATCGCTAAAAGCCGAAGATGGTGTATCTGAAGCAGCTGGAAGTGGAAAATTTCAAGTCGTGGAGGGGGCGACAGGTCATAGGTCCGTTTAAACGGTTTAACTGTATCGTAGGGACCAACGGCTCAGGTAACGTCTTGTTTTTTTTTTTCCTTTAAACTTCGTTTTTCCTCATGTTTTAACGAGCCAG